TTTTGTCTTCCCTAAAATTTGAATTTGTTTTTTGAATCATTCCAATCAGATGAACTCTTAATAAATGTTATTTTTTGCACGTTTTGCTCCGTATCTCCAAAACTCAGAACCTGCCCTTGCCAAATACTAATTATCACGTTTCCCAATCATTAGGAATTGAATATTTTTTAAATATTTTAAATCCGTTGATCTGTGCGCCCGAAATCGTTGACGAAAAGTTGTAGACACACAAAACACATACTCACACACACGTACATCAATTTTTTCTAAGGTATGCCAAAAAATTGATAGAACCAGTTATTTTATAATGAAAATTTTTCGATCATCCGATATTTTTTTATATCTTCTAAAAATATTTGCCATCTACTACTTCATGAAACGGGAGATTGCAATAATTTACCAAGGTCAATTTCATATAGTTTTGATATAAGATTCAATTGTCTTCGTTTTTACCCTAATTCGATTCTTATATAAATTATACACATGTTATCCTGATTTGACCCTGGAATCACTATTTCTTTTCCTAATTTAATCCAAGAACTCTTTTTTATCAGACAGGTGTTTCCAATGAATTACCAGAGAAATGGCATTATATTTTGATTTAAGACTAAATTGTCTTGTTTTTTTGCCATAATTTGACCCTGTTCAAATATAAATTATAACTTAATTATTAATTTTGTCCTAATTTGACTCTAATAAAGAAAAAGCTATTGTCTTTTTTGCTGATTTGACTCAAAGGCTCTTCCCAATAAAACTGGAGATTACAACGAGTTACCAGCGCAATTCCAAATTATTTTGTTTAAAAATAATCTGTCTTCTCTTTACCCTGTTTTGACCCTGTTCAAGTACAAAAATTACACAAATGTTGTCTTGGATTAACGCTCATGAAAAAAAAAACTACCGTTTGTTTTTTTGATTTGATCCAAAAGCTATTTTTCATCAAGCAGGAATCTCCATCAATTTATCAGCGTCTTCTTTCTTACCTCAATTCGACTCTGCCCAAATAAACTTTATCCTGGTTCGATGCTGGTGAAAAATAAATTGCTTTATCTTTTTCTGATTTGTTCCAAGAATTTTTTTTGCATCAAACAAGAAACTTCATCAATTGGGCTCTACTACACAAAACAGGAAAATTCCGAAAATTTACCAGAACAATGCAATACATTTTGGGGTTAAGAATGAATTATACTTCTCACTGACGATTTGACTGACCTTATCCAAAAATAAATTACACAAATTACTGTATTTTTGGAACCTTGGAACTTTTCTTCGTCAACCAGGAGATTCTAACAATTCACCAGCGGAATTCTAAACATTCTTGATTCAAAAATAAATTCTCTATTTACTCCAATTCCCCAATTTATACCCAAAAGTATAAATTACACATATGTTGTCCTGGTTTAACTGTGATAAAAAATAAATCACTGATCGAGGAACTCTTCATCAAATAGGAGTTTCCAATAACTTGCCAGGGCAATGACATACATTTTTGATTTAAGTACAAATTAAACATTTGCCCTGGTAAAAAATAAATCACTATTTCTTTTCCTGAGTTGATCCAGAAACCTAACAATTTACCAGCGCAACTCCAAACATTCTTGGTTTTAGAGTGATTTATCCTGTTTTCACCCCAATTCGACCCTGTCAAAGTACAAATTACTCATTTACCCCAGTCTGGCCCTGTGCACATACATTACCGCGTATTTTATTTCGTTTGTTATGCAAAACTTCTATATAGATAAAGAATATTGTATGTGTAATCGCCTGACGACATTGAGATCAATGGAATCGTTTTTCGTAGAATATTTCTTATACAAAGTTTTAAGACGATGGAGTTACAAATTCTGAACATATGTTCGGTGATAACGAAAAAAATTATCAGCATTTGAATTATTAATTTCATTCAGAAAAAAATAAGAGACATACAATGTAGTGCCACAGTCGATATTTAATATTACACAAATATCGAAATTTCACTCCACTACAGAGAAATCTTCTTCACGAGTTTATCTTGATAATTATAAAACTAGACGAAAAAAAACTTTGTAGTTAATTATAGTGGAGACACATTTATGTTGATTTTACGTGAACGTATTTTTAAAAATGGAAATCAAACAAGAGTTTATTTTAAGAAGAAAACAATGCGGAATTGCATTTGTAAATATTCTTTGTTGTAATTGTAAAATATTATGTAAGGAACGAGATATTTGTATTTTGAATTTGAAAGATGAAATATTTATAAATATTCCCGTAGAGTAGTTATAGTAATGGGCCGAAAATCGAAAATGAAAATTTTTGCATTTCTCGACGTTTCAAAGGTTTCTGAACATTTTGGCATATCTCAGAAAAAAATGGATGTTTGTGTGTGTGTATGGATACAAATTTTCGTCCACGTTTTCATGTGCACGGATCAACCGATTTGAATGATTCATTTACCATTCGATTCCTATTGATAGGGAGATGTGCTGATTAGTTTTTGGCAAAGGCAGGTCCAGCCGTTACGGAGATACGGAGCAAAGAGTGCAGAAAATACAAATCGAGTTTTTGAGAGAACTAAGGGTCCGATTTGAATGATCTAAAAAACATTCAATTCGTATTGATTGGGAGAAGAGGTGATTAGTTTTTGGCAAAGACAAGTTTCGTCATTTCGAAGATACAGAGCTAAATGTGCAAAAAATTGCGGTTTTTAGACTGTGACTATTCGGCAGCACTTTTTCAATTTTGTGTAAATTAGCAACTATTTTTTTTTTTAAATTGAATTCGAAATGAAATGACGATTGTTAATGTTCTGGAGATGAATTGATTTATGATTTACATTTGATTTGCTCAGATATAACAACAAGATAGCAAAAATGATTAAAGTTACAGTATTTGTAATAATATATTTGAAAACGTTTAAAATTCCTCGAACATTTTGTTACGGTACGGGAAGTTCCAGCAATTTGACTTAAGGCACGATGCCATAGTTTAAATTTTACTTTATCAAAACAAAGCATTGTTAAGTAAATAACTGTATTATAAATAAATAAAATACAATTTTAGACCTCTTTCTCAGACACATCAGGGACACTCGGTTCGAGTCCTGGCACTGTCGTAGAGTTGACATAGACTCTGAAACAGATAGACCTGTCTTTGCCAAAAATTAATCACCACTTCTCCCCATTATTGAAAATTGAATGTTTTTCGGATGCTCTCAAAAACTCAATTTCTATTTTCTGCACAATTTGCTCCGTATCTCCGAAACGGCTGGACCTGCCTTTGCCAAAAACTAATTAGCACATCTCCTTAAAAATAGTCATCGAATGTTCTTTGAATTATTCAAATCGGTTGATTGGTGCTTCTGAAAACGTTGACGAAAAATTGTATCCATACATACATACACACACACACATACACACATACACACACACATCCATTTAATTTCTGAAGTATGCCAAAACGTTCAGAAACCTTCAAAACGTCGAGAAATGTAAAAATTTTCAATTCCGATTTTCGGCCCATTACAATAACTTACCCTACGGGAAGTTAATTAATATTATTATACATCGACTTTTTATATATTATTATATATCGATCATTTACTACCATACATACTACATACACCCATACATATACACACACATCCATTTTATTTTAGGCAAAAATTTTCATTTTACATTTTTGGACGAATACAATAACTTACCCTACGGCAAGTTAATAATCAAATAATATTATTATACATCGACTATTTATATATTATTATATATCGATCATTTACTACCACAAGGGTCCGCCATATTACTTTTTTTATTGGTGGCAATTTAGAATTTTTGACAGCCATTAAAGAGTTAGACAGCCATTTCAATGAAATTATTTTCGATTATTAACCAGAAGGATTGCACTTTCAAATAGAAAATATTTAAATTGAGAAAATATTCAGTAGTTTATATAAAGCATTTTCAAGAAAAAAAAAGTTATCTGACGGACCCTATACCATACATACACACACACACTTTCTAAAGCAAAAATTTTCATTTTCAATTTCTGGACTTACAATAACTCACCCTACGGCAAGTTAATAATCAAATAATATTATTATACATCGACTATTTATATATTATTTTATATCGATCATTTACTACCATACATACTACATACACCCATACATACACGCACACCAACATTAGTTTTTCTAAGGCAAAAAATTTCATTTACGATTTTTGGATGATTACAATAACACACCCTACGGTGAGGTAAAAACCAAATAATAACATGATACATCGACTATTATTATTATTATTTATTCATTTATTTATTCTATTTATTTTCTTTAATTCTATTTTTGTTTCTTCTTGATTTTAATTGTCAATACCATAACTTTTAACTTATAGATTGTATTGTAATCTGATTGTTAAAATTAGCAGAAATAAAAAAAAATATCGACTATTCACTATTATTATACATCGATCACTCACCACCATCGAACTTCTATTCCCTCCGCTCTGACATCCCTAAGTTCTTCGTATCGCACGGAACGATAAGCCCTCGCATTCGCCTCGCGCGTCTCCGGCTATCTCCGTCCGAAATCGGCCGAAATTCGCCGGCAAAGCCGAACACTAGTCCGCCGCCAGAAATTGCTCGAAAATCAGTTCAATCGTTCGCCGTTCACAAACGAAATAGTAATAGACTAAAGTAAATTATTAAATTAATAACAATCATAATTCGAATCTCAAAAACGCAATTATGTATTCTAAATCATGTCTCGCTTGTAAAAAACTCATGGCCGATACAGTGAATATAACATAACCCAAATTTTTCGAACATAACCTAGCTTTTGTAATAAATTTTTTACCGTAGTTTTTAAGTGTTATTTTTGTATTAATAATAATAAAATTAAAATAGTTGCGTTTTGTAAAAGTCGGCGTGTATGTATCTTTATTTTATCCTAGTGCAAAAGTGATAATTTTGTCTATATTTTATTCTAACCTCAAATTATATTGTGCAACAAACGTCATTCCATTTTATTTTTACCCTCACCTCGCGCGGACTGGTTTTCAAAATTTGTGATATATTTAAAATTAATAATAGTGAGGTACTGATTTTTTGCTGATTTTTTTCTTAAATAAATTTATTATTAATGATGCCGGGACAAGAGAATAGAACTAGAAATGGCCACGTGCTTGTTGCACAGACGGACTTGGATTTTTTGCCGGCGAAGAAACCCGAAGGTAAAATTTGAAAAATGTAATAAAAATTTTGATTATATTTTGGTATAATTTGTATTTAAATTTCCGTAGGGCAAGTTATAGTAATCGCAAAAAAATCGAAAATGAAATTTTTTGTATATCTTTACGTTTCAGAGGTTTCTGAACATTTTGGTGTACCTTAGAAAAAATGGATGTATGTGTGTGTGTGCGGATACAAATTTTCGTCGACGATTTCAGTACACCGATCAACCGAGTCGAATAATTCAAAAAACATTAAATTATCAGATATTTTATAGAGATTTTCTTATGTGTGTATTTTCATAGTGATGTATGGCATAGTGCCTTAAGGCAAATTGCTGGAACTTCCCGTACCGTAATGAAATATTCGAGAAATTTTAAACGTTTTCAAATATATTATTACAAATACTGTAACTTTCATTATTTTTGCTATTTTATTGTTATATCTGAGCAAATCAAATGTAAATCATAAATCAATTTATCTCCAGAACATTAACAATCGTCATTTCATTTTGAATTCAATTTAAAAAAAAAAATAGTTGCCTAATTTACAGAAAATTGAAAAAGTGCTTCCGTATAGTCACAGTCTAAACGCATTTGCAAATAATTCTGAGCGACATTTTCACTTATACTGTGCCTAGCCTGACGGCATTTTTTCATTTATCGATAGTTTTCACAAAATTGGAAAAGTGCTCCAGTCTAAACGCACTTGCGGAAACATTTGTACCAGAGTGGCCCTTAGACTGTGCTTAGCCTAGGTAATTTTTTGAATTTTTAATCCAAAATTACAAAAATATTTTATGGAAAATAAAAAAGCTATTGTTATGTCAATAAAGCAGAATTTTTTTAGATCATTCAAATCGGACGTTCAGTTCTCTCAAAAACTGCAATTTTTTACACATTTAGCTCTATATCTCGGAAATGTCTGGACTTGCCTTCACCAAAAACTAATCTAATAACCACTTCTCCCGATCATTACGAATTAAATGCTTTTTGGATCATTCAAATCGGATGCTCCGATCTCTCAAAAACTCAATTTCTATTTTCTGCACTTTTTGCTCCGTATTTCCGTAACGGCTGGACCTGCCTTTGCCAAAAACATCAAATCAGCACATCTCCCTATCAATAGGAATTGAATGTTTTTTGAAACTGTGCAATTTTGGACCTATTGCGCTATTTATTAAACTGAAATATATAATTTCATCTGCCAAACATCATCTACTGTATCTTATATTATTTTAATTTCTGGCGCATCTTAGCTGCTTTTAGGCAATAATAATGTAGACATTACATTTTTCTTGTATATTATATTCTAATATTATCTAGACTCATAATTTCAGCCAAATTCAAATTTCAAGTGAATTGACATTTCTAGCAGATGACAGTTCAAATGTTTTCAATGTCAAACAATGATAGTGGTTTCTTGTATTTTTGCCATTTATTTCTACAATATTATTATATTTTCATCGTTCATTAAATATTAAAAATTTTCTTTGACAAACTCCAAAAAGAATTATCAAAATCCGAATAACCGTTTAGAAGAAGTATCAAATCATACACCCGTACAGAAGAATATTATATATAAGATATCTACACACATTTTTTTATAGTTCTGTGTCTATGTATTATAGTCATTTATAGTTCTAATTCCAAATTCTAAAATGAAAAATTATCAAGCCTATTCTGACTGTTAAATTCTTATTTCAAAAAATAATTTAATGTGCTATCTTCTTATTTAATTTAATTAAAAAATATATATCAAACAAACTTGTCTGTTTAGTTTTAAATAAAAAAAAATATAAATAATCTAGTAAGTTTTTGTAATTTGTTTCTATTTTTTTTTTTTTTTGTAAAAAAGTAATTTTGTTTATTAAATTTTTTTTCGCAAATTTATCTATTTCTAATTTGAAACAAAAAAATTTATATAATTTGATAATAATATATATATTATATATATATATATATATAAAATATGATACACTAATTTTGACCGTAAATTTATAAAAAAAGTATTTTTAAATCTAATAATTTCAAAATAATTTAAAAAAATCAAAGTTTACAAAAATTCTTGAATCTAATTTTTAAAACAAGTTACTTAACTTTTTATTCAATACTAATCGCAGAAGTTTGTTTATTTTATTGCAGTTTTTTTGTAAGTAAATAGTTGTAACAAGTATTATATAGAATTTAGATTCTATATGATTTTTATAACAAAAAAATAGTTTGTATAGAGAATACATTCTAGAATATTTTTAAAAGTGTCACCAAGCTTTTAGTAAAATTAATTGTGTACATTTCAATTAATTAGATAACGTTTGATTAATTAATTACACGATTTCTTTACTTAAAATTAAATTAAACTTTATACTTCATTAATTTTATAAAAAAATGTGTGATCATACAATTAGTTTTCGAAAAAACCTTGATTACTATTTATATATTTTTTCTTGTTTGAGAAACAAACAGAATTATTGATTTTTGGAATTAATATGCTAATGTGTTGTTTTCCACACCTATTTGGATAAATAAAATTTAGTAAGTAAAATATAAAAATCTATTAATATAATAGCAAAAAAATTTGATCAAATAATTCAGATATATAATTAATATTCTTGATTTTAAAGATTATTAAAAAAAGTGTTAGTTTATCAATATATAGGTTCAACAAAATGTATGTTCAATTTTAATCATGATTTATTAATATTTTCTCATTAACTTATGGTGAGGAAATGTTTTTTTCCAGGATTTTCTTCAACCTTTCTTGATACTATTTTTTAGAATAATTTTGAAACAAAAATATCTTTATTTTTATAATATAAATACGAGCCTGTTAAACTACTTTTAGTTCCAAGAAATTCGTTAATACCATTTGATAGACTTCTTGGCCTAAAAATAAATTCGAGCGTTTTTGCTTTATCGCCCACGTTTTAAATTAATTTATTTTTAGACGTTGTCAGCCTTTTGTAAAGAATATATTTATTTTTTGCTTAAAAATATTGAAAATTTTGTCAAAAATTAAATATAAATGTATATTATTACAATTACAATTACAATTTTTTTTAAAACAAATCATATTTGACCTTATAATATCTGTTTTGTTTTGTTTCCAATTGCGTCAAGAACAAAATAATAAATTGAAAAACATAAATATTTATTTTTGCTTCAAAAA